GATCTAGTACTTTGCTGTCTTGTTATTGTTTTGCAAAGCGGTGGTGGAGCAGCGTCATTCAAGCATTTGAAGACCAGTTTAACCAGATGCAAGGAAATAAAATTAGCAAAACTTAAAATCTTATATTTGCTTTGAATTTGGCAGTGATGGTACCTTATTCTCTTCTTGTCCAAAACTTTCAAGGCACGGTTATAAAGACACTCTATGGTTTTGATTGATGACTGATGAGCTTGAGACCATGTGGTTAAGCCATAAGATATGCGTGTTAGAATCATAGAATTAAAAAAAATAAAAGCACAGTCAAGAGTCAAGCAGTTTCTTATCATCATAAAACAGCTCAAGTTGGCCTTAATGGTTTTACAGATTTTCTTAATATGACTTTTAAAGTTCCACTGATAGTCCAAAATTATTCCGAGGTACTTCACTTCAGGTACTTGTTCAATAAGTTCCCCATTAATTTTTACGTTCAAAAGTTGTGTTAGAGGTAGTTTTTTAATTGAAAGGGCACTTTTGAATTTCCTTGGCGATGGTTTGCTTGAGTTTCTCCCCCATTAGCTGCAAAAACTCTTCACACGTCGTTGATGATAAATATGACACAGTGCCCTTTCCCTTCCACCCAAACTTTCTGATATGTTCTGCTAAAAATGGATCATACTCTGCCAAAAGTTCGAGGATGCCTAAATAATTTCCATTATGAGCTGAACCCAACAACTCATCATTTCCTCTGAATGCCAGCCCTCTCTCCCCTAAAAACTTAATGACTGATACAACTCACCCTAATACTTGCTTCCAGTATTCCCTCTCTGAGTCCATTTGTTTAATTAAACCGGAGTCAATTGTTTCTGTGCCCTTTGAGCGCTGATGTAACATTTGCATACAAGCCCTGTGCTCCGCGCTCCTCTCATGTTCCCCGATCCTCTCCGAATGTTTCCAATCGCAAAATCCGTCAACGAACGCATTGTTTAGTGGAAAATAATTTGCACGAGTAAACAGTAAATACATCCATTTGACGGGGAGTACAGTAACCACTGACGCGAAACAGTTTGTCCATTTGGCAAAGAGCAGCTGAGTAATGCGTTGGTAAAACTCCTAGCCTTCCCACCGATTGTCCTATCCCTCAAAGACGCTGGGTATTTGCTGCATCGATTTTGGAAAGGAGCTGCTCTTCTGATAAGAATAGACTTAACTGTATCACTGGAAGTGTTTTTCCATAAAGCAGGGTCTGTAATTGTGTTGGACCATGAATTGGGACCCTCGTCCTCCTCACGCTGGTGTTTGGCCTGCTCCGCCTGTGGGTCTGAAGCAAGGCTATAGTAAAATAATAGTAAAATAAAACACAAGAAAAAAAAATAGGCTACTGAAATCAAATTTAAAGACATCAGCAAGCCAAGGACGGGCCAACAGCGATCTAGTCTTTTACAAAGTTTATAGGCTAATTATTAAAAAATAGAAAAATATATATGATTATATATATATATATATTAGGGGTGTCGCAATATACCGGTGTAGACGATAATCGTGATATTCAAAGCATGAAATATCGACATTGTATTAATTTAGAGTGTGGCAATATACCGGTACCGGCACACCGGACGAGAAGCGCAGCGCCACGACTTTAAATTTCAAACACATTTTCTCTTCGAGTGTACACACACACCGGCGGTGCCATTCGGCGTCTGCCCGCGGCGCCCAGCAACGACTCTTGTTCAAAATCCTGCCGCGACACAGAGCGCCATTTACATAGTTTTATATTACATTATATTTGTCTCAAATCATCGTAAATGTCTTCACCCTGTGCTGCAATATACATTTAGTTTTACATTAATTTACAGAAATCAGCTGTTTGAATGAAAATTGCTGATGTTATCGGATTTTCAGGTGATATTCTCAATTCATTCAGTTAACGGATGCTCTGAGTCTGAGGTAAAGTGTTCAGATCACAGACTCAGCAACTATTGCATTTAATTGTACAGTACAATCATAACATAGTACAGACATTATCTTAATTTCATAATGTCCTTAAACATAAGAATACTGGTGGCCATAAACTGAGAAAGTGCGCGTCCGGTGTGCGATACCTCGAGTTGTCCTAGATGCGGCGCGGCAGAATGTGTAGCCACCAACCTTTTTACCCATCTCCATCTCCACCCTGCGGATTACGCAATTTTTTACAGAGAATACGTTATGATTATTTTACTAGTCATGGAATGGGAAAGGAGACATTAACCTGTTAACAGGGGGTTTCTGTGTTCATACATTTAAATGCCACGGCCTACCTGAGCATTGTTTCTGACCATGTCCATCCCTTTATGGCCACCATGTACCCATCCTCTGATGGCTACTTTCAGCAAGATAATGCACCATGTCACAAAGCTCAAATCATTTCAATTTGGTTTCTTGAACATGACAATGAGTTCACTGTACTAAAATGGCCCCCACAGTCACCAGATCTCAACCCAATAGAGCATCTTTGGGATGTGGTGGAACGGGAGCTTCGTGACCTGGATGTGCATCCCACAAATCTCCATCAACTGCAAGATGCTATCCTATCAATATGGGGCAACATTTCTAAAGAATGCTTTCAGCACCTTGTTGAATCAATGCCACGTAGAATTAAGGCAGTTCTGAAGGCGAAAGGGGGTCAAACACAGTATTAGTATGGTGTTCCTAATAATGCTTTAGGTGAGTGTATATAGCCGCTCTAGAGAAAACCGTGATGTCATCTTCCAGCTCAGTTCAGTTCTCAAATAATGCTGTCAGTGCAGGCAGATCAATATTATTGTGGAATATTAAATTTAATGGGACACAAAAGAAGTGTCCTCAAAGCCACATGCTCGATGGAAGAGGACAAGGACCTGTGTAAAAAAGTAGTTGAACTTTATAAAAACCGTAAAAGATTTATAAATAATATCAGACTTGAAAATGGCAACCAGTACTGTATAGGGATTTTGTTTGCACTTTATAATCTTCAACAACCTCCTCTACATAAACTTAATGACTACAGTATTTATTCACAAACACTAATTACAATTACAAAGAGTCAAAAGCGTGAAACCTTACCTTTAATAGCTATTCAAACCTGTGTGTGTAATCTTAAGCATTTAATGAGGCCAAACATTCAAGGGATTTTAAACAGGGCCATTTGAGTGTTATCGGAAACAAAAACAAAAAAAAGGTTTAAAAGTTAAATTTTACATCTACTATGTGTTATCATATTTCACCTGAAACGGATAATCTGCTGTAAGGTCATGGATGCCTATATTTACTATCCAACAGAAAGGTCTAAAGTAATGGATTCATTTGAATTGAGCAGCATATGGCAGAGGAAAATAGCAAAGTGAAGTTTGGTGGATGTTTTTTCTTTTTCATTTTAAATGACACTGAAATATACATATAACACCTTTGCACATTGGAGAACTGCATGTAAGATTACAACTATTAAAAATTTAGAAGGATCCAATGCTGTACAAATCTTTGGGATCATCTATGATGCTCATCACTGGACTCTGTTGGTAATATTTTATACTTATAAAATCCATTGTGGGTCGTCTTAGTAACTTTATATTTAATATATAGTTTAAGTAATAGTTTTACTTATAATAAACACACTTAATATGTTTAATATGTGTGAGTAGGTGGAACTTTTTTGTGGCTTTTCTAAAAAAAACATTTGTAATATTCCAATTATTAAGGTTATGATCCCAAAGGAAAAGCAGGCTCTGTATTTGGATCCCCTAGGGGAGAGGCACAACAGCCTTAAAAGATGCCAAGAAGTGACAAGGTAATCCAACCTTTTAAACAAGTCCTATGACGGGGCATATGATCAATGACCATTGGATGGAAAAAATTGTGCCGTTCTGAGCTTTTTCTATTGATTCCAGTTCATTTATGAGTGAAAAAGTGTCCAGATGGTCATATGACACACTGCCACACCCACAAAAAGGACAGCGCTTCCTGTGAGGCCTTTGTCCTAAAAGTAAGTCATAGGGAATTGGCCAAGAGTACATTTACAAAAGTATTCAATGTCACTTCTATATGCCCAATAAAGCTATTTTTAATAAACAGATTCAAATCTAATCTTAAATGTGTGTTTTTTTTTGCACACTCTAGTGACCAATAATCTACAGCTAATAGTAATAATTTGTGTTATTTTTTTCTGTTCAGTAAAGCACAGTCCACAAGCACTTTTTCTCCTATGTTAGAGCCACAGACCTTCGCATCTCCCAATAACAAGACCATCTCTGCATGCCTGGCTTCTGGACGTGGAACTGCTGCAAAAGGAAATTCTGGGGTAGCCATGATGAGGGATGAACTTGATGAACTTGCGAACAGGCTTAACCTCAGCAACAGCAGGAGACTCGTAGATTTTAATTATGGGGCTACTGCGAGGTTAGTATGCCCAACATTTTCAGTTTCAATCAAGAATTGTCATTATTGTGCATCACAATCAATACCCAATTTTCAGTTAATTCACCAGTTCAAGTTATTGGCCACAAGAATTTTTAAAAAGGAAAGAGCAGAAAATTTGATTGATTTCGATTTGATTGTGCTCTTACAATCTCAAGTTTTTAGTGAACCTTTTTTCAGTAGATGTAAACACTACTTCAAGTTCATGACATTATTAATTTTATGACATACAATCATCACACTGTAAATGGACATTACTGGCCTTGGTTGCAAAATATATCTATGCTATCTCCACAGTTGTTGACTGGTTACGCTTCTTACAACACGGCACTTCTATTCTTATAACAATCTCATTGCAAGTTTAGATGCATGCCAACCACAACCATGCAAATTAAAAATTGTATGACATTTTACCTTACGTAGCCTTTCACAGAAACAGCTATTTTCTGATATACTTCAAAATCAAATAAACTGATTTTTTTTTACCAAGTAAACATGTAATAAGTAAATCGAAGAAGTGACGGTGGAATTGAAACAAACCAAAGATGAATAAACTTAGAGCAATGCTTTTTTTTTTGTACACAAGTCAGCAGAGTATGTGACTGTGCATAACTCTTTCCACATGGAGGAGAGGCGTATCTCCAGTATGAACTTTCTAATGTTGTTTCAGCTTTCCAGACTCAGTAAAACCCTTTCTACAATGTGTACATGCGTATGGTTTTTCTCCAGTATGGATTCTTTTGTGTATTTTCAAGCCGCCAGCTCTAGTAAAAGCTTTACCACACACAGTGCACGAATGAGCTTTCACACCACTATGCATTTTCTGATGATGAGTAAAATTACTAAGCCATAAAAAAGTCTTGCCACAAAAAGAACACAAGTAGGGCCTCTCATTAGTATGGATTTTAAGGTGGGTCTTTAAATGTCTCGGCAGAATAAATTTCTGCCTGCACTGATCACAGTTAAACGGCTTTTCTCCCGAGTGAGAACGCAGGTGATTGTTGAGATACGCCGCCCGGGTAAAACCCTTCCCACACTGGCAGCATGTGAAGGGCTTCTCTCCAGTGTGACTCCGTGTGTGAGCATTAAGGTGTCCTTTCTGTGTGAAACTCTTTCCACACTGAGAGCATGTGAAAGGGCTCGCGCCCGAGTGTACTCTCAGGTGATCTTTAAAATATCCTTTATGTTTGAAACTCTTTCCACATTGAAGACATGCAAACGGCTTCTTCCCAGAGTTAACTTTCATGTGATCTTTAACGTATCCCTCATGTGTAAAAGTCTTTCCATCCTGAGGGCAAGTGAAAGCCATTTCTCCAGCGTGAATTCTCATGTGATACTTAAGGTTTCCTTTACGGGAGAACCTCTTTCCACACTGACGGCACGAGTAGGGCTTCTCTCCTGTGTGAATGCGTATGTGGTCTTTGAGATTTTCCTTACACGTGAAGCTCTTTCCACACTGAGGGCATGCAAAACGACTCTCTCCGCTGTGAACTCTCATGTGATCCTTACAGTATCCTTCCCGTGTGAAACTCTTTCCACATTGAGGGCATGTGAAGGGCTTCTCTCCAGAGTGAACTCGTATGTGACCTTTGAGATTTCCTTTACGCCTGAAACTTTTGCCACATTGAGGACATATGAAAGGCTTCTCTCCAGCATGAATTTTCATGTGATCCTTAAGGTTTCCTATACGTGAGAACCTCTTTCCACACTGATGGCACACGTAGGGCTTCTCTCCTGTGTGAATGCGTATGTGGTCTTTAAGATGGTCTTTACACGTGAAGCTCTTGCCACACTGAGGGCAAGCAAAACGACTCTCTCCGGTGTGAACTCTCATGTGATCCTTACAGTATCTTTCACGGGTGAAACTCTTTCCACACTGAGGGCACGTGAAGGGCTTCTCTCCAGAGTGGACTCGTAAGTGATCCTTAAGATTTCCTTTACGCGTGAAACTCTTGCCACACTGAAGGCATGTGAAAGGCTTCTCACCGGTGTGGATTCTTAAATGAACCTTGAGGCTTCCTTTTTGTGTGAACATACTTCCACACTGATGGCACGTGAAAGATGTTGTGGCTTCTATTCTTTTTTGAGAGAAACTGTTGGCAAACACTGAGCAACTAGAATTTTCTCCAGTTATAAAATTATGCGTTTTTTTATACTGATGTTCCTCCTCCGCTTCATTCTGATATTGCCTTTCCTCTTTCACTCCCATCAGGTCTAAAATGAACATATTAAACTGTTATATATTCAGTTAAAAAGAGGGACAACCGTGAAATAAAGTTAAAACACTTTTTCAGAAAGCAACAGTGGTCAAGTTTCTAATTGTAAATTTTTTTTGTAGTTGTAAATTGTAGTTTTTTTTTTTAAAGTCAGGACTCTTCAGCCTTCAGTTTAGTTAATCAAACAGACCTGAAGAATCTACTCAAGGTCATCAAGATCTGAAAATTACAGGTGTGTAAGATCAGGGTAAAGACTACAGTTAGGTTCAGTCGTTTGCAACATTTAAAAAAAAAAAGTTACAATACATGAAAATGTGACCAAGATGTAATTTGTTTGTTCAGAATAGGGCCCTCATGTATAAACCTTGGCATAGATTTTATAATAAAAATTTATGTATGCAAAAAAAGAATAGTTTGCGTATGCACAAATGTTTTCTGATTTGTAAAATTGTACAATAAAACAGCAGGTTGAGAGCCAGTAGCCGGGCTTCCATTACAGATTTGCGCAAAACTTTTGCGAGATTTTCTAAATGTCGATTAAAACTATAGCAAAATGACAGCGTTTCCATTAACCAATGTTATCCGACTAAAGCGTAATTTATTCCTCTCGCGATAAGTCATTCCAAAAATCATGGCAACTGATGTTGGTAGGTTCACATATATCTCAACTAGCCATTATTTTTAATGGAAGGAGACGTAGGCGTGTATCTAAGCATTAAAGGGTTAGCGCTTCTAGGCTTCCTAGGGCAGCGCTTCTAGGTTGTACGTCACGCATCACACACATGACCAGCGTCGGGCAATAGTGAGCCTGCGTGTGACGTGCAACCTAGAAGCTTTGCGCAATATCACTACGTGAAATATCACGGCCGTACAGAGAAGGAAATGATTAGTTGAATAAAGTCGTTATTTTTGTTTGTTTTTTTGCGCACAAAAAGTATTCTCGTCGCTTGATAAACTTAAAGGGATAGTTCGGCCAAAAATGATATTTAAACCATGCATTACTCACCCTCAAGCCGTTCGAGATGCATATGTAAATCTTGTTTCAGACGAACACATTTTCAGTTATTTTAGAAAATGTCTTAGACCCTTCAGTGGATATAATGTGAAGCAATGGGGTCCACCTCCTTCAAGTCCCAAAATGTGCATATATCCTTCACTAAAGTAATCCATCCGGCTCCAGGGGGATAAACGAAGGCCTTATGAGGGTAATCCGTGCGGTTTTGTCGTAAAAATATACATATTTAAAACTTTATAAATGAAAATATCTGACTTCCGGCAACGATCGACGCGCGTTCAAAATGAATGCATATCGTAAACAAATATCATTAAAAATCTATCGTAAATTAAATAAATATATCAACACTTACCAAAGTGATTTACACTGTTGGATAAAATGGGCGCCGCCTGAAGCAACTCGAAGACGAAGCGGGAGAAATGGAAATGACCAACTTGCAGCCGCCTACACAGTTATAGAGAAGCACATTTTGTCAACACATGTCACTCAAAATCTATCGTAAATTAAATAAATATAACAAAACTTACCAAAGTGACCACAGTGTCGAAAAAATGGGCGCCGCCTGAGGCAACTCGAAGACGAAGCGGGAGAAATGCTAATAGTGGCGCCGCCGTGTAAAAGAAAATAATTCCCTCATAAGGCCTTCGTTTATCCCCCTGGAGCCGGATGGATTACTTTTGTGAAGGATATATGCACATTTTGGGACTTGAAGGAGGTGGACCCCATTGCTTCACATTATATCCACTGAAGGGTCTAAGACATTTTCTAAAATAACTGAAAATGTGTTCGTCTGAAACAAGATTGACATATGCATCTCGAACGGCTTGAGGGTGAGTAATGCATGGTTTAAATATCATTTTTGGCCGAACTATCCCTTTAAGGTTGAGCCACTGTAGTGACTCTGACTATTTTAACAATGTCTTTCATAACTTTTGGGCCGGCCAGTTTCGATCCCTTAAGAAGCCTATGGAGGAGTGATCCAGCTCTCAGATTTAATCAGAAATATCTTAATTTGTGTTCCGAAGATGAAGAAACGTCTTACGGGGTTGAAACAACATGAGGGTGAGAAATTACTGACAGAATTTTTGTTTTTGGGTGAACTAACCCTTTAATGGCAAGGAAAACCCCTTATACTGGGAGCGGCACATATGAGTGTTTCTGTGTGTTTCTCCATCATTTCTGCTTCGAGATCTTGATAAATTGTGGCATTTCTTTGTTGTTTAGAGTCCAGCATTGCCGTAATACTTTTGTCTTTTATGAATTTAATAAAGAACTCTGTCTCGTCTTCTGTCTAAACACACTGCGCCTTCTTTAAAGAATGATAAACTCTTACGTACGCCAGGTGACCTGGAAATGTTTTCATTGCAGTTTTGCAAAATATTCCTTTTTTCGAATTGCCTGAAAAACCTCCTCATGCGAGCTTGAAAACTTTTTTTAGCGATATATGGGAGTTTTTGGGTAATTGACGTGTTTCCATTGGACGTATTTACACTTGCAATTTCAGTTTGCGCAATTTGAAGGGTAATGGAAACAGGCTACTGACATGTAGTAGTTTGAAGGGCAGCACTGGGGAAGATGTGGACTATTCAATTAATGGATTAAATAATAATAATCAATGATTGATTAAAACAATTTCCACCATAAGATCGCATAGTGTACAATTAACTTTCATCTCAAAAGATGAAGGACAATTGGATTCTCCATGATATGACAACTTTAGAGAAGGATCAAGAATGGATACCAACCTCTTTGTTCCTCAATATTTTCATTTTCCACTCTGGATGGTTCTTCATCACTCATGTCCCCAATTTCCACTTTAATAAACTCCATGATTACAATAGCATGTCATATAGATTTCTATAGTTACATCTGAGGTAGTTTCTACTGCTTCTTTATATGCGTTCTACTTGTTGAATGACAGGATACTTCCAAGCATGTATCAGTGAACTGCTGTGAAGAAAAAAAAAAACTATTTATACATTCTTATTTAAGCATTGTGCACACTGATAAAGAAATGGTTTCAAAAATATCTTTTAAAGCCTCTTGCATCACAACAGGTAACATTTTCACAGGTTTTAGTTGTAATACAGTGGAGAAAATAAGTATTTGATCCCCTGATGATTAGTTTATCTAATCTCTATCTGTTAAAATAAACCTACCATATAAATTATTGACAATTTTTTTCTTTGTAAGTGGGAAAATGTACAAAATCAGCAGGGGATCAACATATTAGGAGGTTGTCTTAATGTTTTGGCTAATTGGTGTATACAATAAAACTGACTGCATCATACTTCATTGTTGAATTCCCTTTTTTTTGTGGACAAAATAAATCAAATAAAAAATAGCAGAGGCTATCTGCACTAAGTGTTAAATGCAAACAATGAAAAAAAAAAGTATTACTTTTAATCACAAGTGTAAATAGTGTTAGATGTTATTAATACTTATTATATTATTATATTTGCAGTGTATTGTAGTACATTACAGGGCTCCAGACTATTTTTCCACAACTCTAAAAGTTTTTACACCATTTTTATAATAATCACATTTATTTGGATACTCAAAACATCTCACAACCATCTTATCTGTCTTATTCTTTAGAACATCCTCCAGTAAGTTCACATGTTGGTGTGTGAGAGAGAAGTATCTGAAGTAGGGCTATTTATGTTTAATTTATCATGTAATTATTTTATTTTGTTTAATTGATAAATTTGCATTAAATATTTTAGTAATGTTGTGTCTTTTTAATAAAATTATGTGATATCGTCACTGGTCATTAAAAACAGAACAAAAAATCTGTATAGCTGATTATTAAAGAACTCAAACAGCACAAATATCCCCACACACACTTGAACCAGTCTATTAGACAAAAGCTATCCACCTATTTTTATGCGCATTTTGGAATATTGCATAAACAAGCTGAATAAATATGCCAAGATGTGCATACATTATAAAAAATGTGCATAAAAAACATATGCACTCAACTGAGTCAAATGTTTTAACCGATAAGAAAACATGCACATAAACTACGATGGAAACATGTTTACCGAATAAATTCCTCGATGCGCATCAAAAAAGACTTTGCGATGGGACGGCATGTTTATGGCATTTCATCTGCACGCTCTGAGGAGTAATATATTATATATGAAAATTATTATATAGGCTACAGTGGCTTCTCCTACTGCACCAACTTCCATTTTTCTTAAGTGATATTTATCGACAGTTTATCAGGAAGTGACGATTTTATTCTCTTCGCAAAATGTCTTATGCAATATTCCATACATTTGCAACGTTGGATGGAAACATGTCTAGAGAGATACATGCGCAACTTTGGAAACATGGCTAGAGAAGAAATAAGGAGAAAATACTCACATCTTTATACGATTTCTTGCAATACACCATATCTTCATATATGGCAGTGGAACTCCTCGATATCATGGTGAAAACTGATGCGAATAAACACAAAGATATTTTGTTACACTTATTTGATAAAGTAAAGATCCAAGCATAGGCTACTCACTACACAGAGCAATAGAGTGTGAAAATCTGCATCAAGTGTCCAAAATGCCAAATTACAGTAGAATTGACATATGTTTTAGCACACCAGGGTGACTAGGAACATTAAATTATCCAATCGTGACTTCTTATTTCAAAGGACTATAAATATGAGGAAACACAAAGGCCAAATTCCCTTAAACATACATCACAATGAGTAAAACACATAATATAGTTCTGATGTGCAGCAAAAGATCGTTGAGCAATAATGAATTAGTTCCCATCAACAGGAACTGTTATACATCTTCCAGGAAGAGGACGTGTGTTTATATCGTCCTATTGGACAGTGAGGAGGACGGTCTGAGTGGCCAAAGACTCTCCAAGGATCACAGATGGAGAAATGCAGAGATTAGATGCAGAGTGTTGGGGTCAGAAAGCCTTAAAACATATATCAAACTGCACCTACATTGCCACAAGTTGTTTGTGAGGGTTTTGCTCTCATCCAAAAACAAACTCCAGCATATTCAGTTGCCGGACACGACTGGAGTACAAACGTGACTCAGTTCTGTGGTCAGATGAAACAAAAAAAAGTGCTTTTTTGGCAGCAAACCCACCAGATGCAAAATATTCATCTCAAATGCAACCCTAACCCTCGTAAACACACGTTGGAGATTCATATATTGTAAGTAAAGTGGAAATATATAAAGGACAATCCATCCAAAACTGTTTGTTTCATGGGGAAAACCTACCCTGAATAGAAATAACTATTAATAATACAACTTTACTAAAGTTTAAATGAAATCTATTTAAATTAAATACTTTTGAATTGTGAACTGAAACAAGATCATACATAAACGATGTACTTGATGACAAGCAGCTTATCATTCAGTGATTATATTACAGAATTTATGTCTTTTTCCATCCACAATTTTGACGTAATGTGATGACAGATGCACAAATTCATCATATCAACCTTCATGTAAAAACAGGAATGCATCAATATGATCAGCAATAAAGAAAGGAACGTAAAATTCATAAATGTGCGATTTATGATGAGATCAGCCAGCTCTGCGAATGAAGCAATGCTGTTATTACATTCACTGAAAATAATGTCCATTCATGTCATCATACATCGCTAAATGTTTTCAATTACAGTATTAAGACAGTAATATGATGTTGTTGGAGCGCATTTATACGACTTCTAACGGATTATGAACGCGTTATGTTTGTCAATAGACCTTAATACAAACCTTCTCGTAGCTGAGGCGCGGCCATGTGACCGTGACGTCACATCATGACCTAAGCGCGCGGCGCACCATGGCTCTGGCGCGCACACAGGCAAAATAAAGGTCCGTGTATCCAAACATTTGAAATAAACATATATAAACTATCAGTGACTCAAATCAAAATATTAATATAAAAATATCTATAAATATCTATAATATAAAAATAAAATACAATCTGTTTTGGTGAAATGCAAAATGATTGTTATCTGAATTTCACCCACACTCTGTCCAATTTACTAAACAATGCAATGCAATTACAATGGCATGAGCTCAGAGAGCAGTGCAGGAAAAATACACTGATATCCTGTGTTATTTCTTATGTGTTTCATTAATTTTCTATTATTATTTTTATATTGTTGATTGTGAATGGGCTTTTGAATAGCTTGATTTGCTAGAGACAATAATGCAAGTAAACAAATAAAAAAATAAACATTTTTACAAATGACAAACAATATAACAATAACAATTCAGTAGTCCTGCCAGATGTGTGATTGTTCATTTCATTCTGTAAAAAAAGAAAAAATATCAAAGTGAAAACCTTATGCCAAAACATTTTGATTGTGTCAAAACATTTGATGCAAGCTCTGAATATTTAAATTTAAAGCCTAATTTCCATTAGTTTTCATTATTTTAGATTATTCTCATTAATACAGTAGTCTCACCAGCAGAACTGTTTTATCTTGGGAGAAAATAGCTGTCAATGCTTAAGTTTACATTTTAATTACTGTTATACAGTGTTGGGTGTAATTAATTACCAAGTAATCTAAATACTGTAATTCAATTAAAGGGATTACTCTTAATTCTTCTGTAATTAAAAGTAAAATCTGATGTAATTGCATTAAATACTGCATAGACTATAGAACAATTCTGTAAAAAACAATAGTGGATTTAACATACATTTTTAAACGGTATATTTTTAATGTTACCTTCTCCCTCTGCACACTTTGGTCAATTCAAGAATAATTCATGCAATTGTATATTGTTCATTTGAAAGCATTAAAAGTGCAGTGTCTTGTCTCTCCTTGTATTGTTCAAGTGGTTGAGGTTGATATGGGATTTAGAAAGTAATTAGTAATAAGTAGACCAATACATTCTAGAGATAGAAATTATTACATTAATCTAATTACACTGTTGAAGATCTCATTTGTAGTTAGTAATTAATAACTATTTTAGAGTAATTTACCCAACTGTTATAATATTAGAGGTGAAACTGGAAGAACAGTAGCCTATGTTATTCAACCTAATTTAAATTTTCATGTAGGTGCAATCCTGCAGGCATTAAAATAATGTGGCAACAGCTGAAAATGAAATATAAAAACATAATTCAATCAGGTAAGGCTTGAGCATATCATGGGTGTAGCTATCAGGGTTGAAGCTAAACTTTGCAGGACAGCTGCACTCCAGTCCTAACGTTGCGTATCCGTTATAGATTATGATGCATTGCTGTAGATTAAACTACCCAACAGTATCTTCTTTGTCCTAGCGTGTACACTGTAAAAAGTGAAACATTGGATTAACCTAATAAAATTGAAGTAACCATTCACAATAAAGATTTTACATTGGCCTAATGTTCAGAAACCATTCAGTTCAAACTAATTTTCTGCATTTCATGCAAACTCTTTTCTGAATTTGGTGTTAATCAATATTTTAAATTGGCTTAAATGGAAAAAAGAAGGTTTTTAACAGACTTGATTTCATGAAAACTCTTTTCTGAATTTGGTGTAAATCATTATTTTAAATTGGCTTAAATAAAAAAAAAGTGTTTTTAACAGACTTGATCTAAATTGAGTTTTCTTCAATCTGAAATATTCATTCCAAATAATACAAAAGGCTTCACAATTGGCATAACATCAATGAGTCAGATCAAACGTTCTGTTAAATATTTATTAAGTCTTGTATGAAAATCACTGTTTTTAAGATTAGACTCTTTTTTGGCAAAACAAACTTACACTTGTAATTCTTAGACAGTTCAAGTAATCAGTTCATTTCAAGTTGAATTTCATATATAGCAGTATTACAATGTGAATATATCATAAGAACAAGAATAAGAAAAAAGAACAAATACCTAAAAACAATTGGTCTGGTTCTCTCAGAAATTTTTGTCAGAAGAAATAAATGTAAATCAAATACAAAACATAGATATTGCCACATTCAGTAAACAACAAACAACTACTGAACTACTATTACGATGTAGTTGAGACTGGGGTGAAGGCGTTTCTCCCATCCTGTGTGTGTTTATCAAAGCACTGAAATGGAGGCTGTCAGTCAGTCATTGACAATGCAGCAGAGTGCAGAGGCGACATAGTTAATTTCAGTTCTTTTGGAAATTTGAGGTTTAGCACATGCAGTCCAAATAAAACTGTTACAGCAGCTGCGGTTGAGGGCACGTTACTGAGGACCTCTGTGCTCTCAATGCTCTCCCTGGTGTCTGTCTCACTGATGAAGATGGCCATTGGTTGCTCTGGCTATCACCTGGCATATCCTGGCGAGACAATACATAGTAATGAATAAAGAGTGCTGACCAAACAGTTGATGGAGTATCTCAGAAAATTAAAATATCACATATAACCAATAAAAACAAGGATTTGTAATACAGAATGTATGCCTTAAGAAAAGCATTTTCATGGTCAGTCAGTAATTGGTTGGAAGACTATTTTTTCCACGTCAGTAATTGTTTGGAACACTATTTTGGTTTTGAGTGGTTGGTAGCACTGTTGCGGTCTTTTATTTTTTGGGTACAGATCTCGTAGCCTAGGCTGCCTACAGACACGTTTTTTTTTTACGGCCTGCTTATGGGGCGTGCAGTTAGCGGATCATGAGGATGAATGATCATTTATGTTTGTGCCTGCAATCGCTGATACAACCTTTAAAACAACCTGGGCATTCAGCAGTGCCACATGCAGATTGCCTCCATACTGATGCAGCAAAAGGAGGCCAAAATACCAGGTATTTAGTGCATATACGTGAACATAGCTATAAGCTGCAATCAACAGAAGTAGCACAAATAATTGCGTGAAATATATATAATGCATGAGTTACACTTTTTTGTAGCTTTTTTTTCTGAAATTACTGAACTTAGACTACATTCTAATTTTTTTGTACTGTGTGTACAGTATGTAAGTATGTGCGTGGATGGCTGAGCGATGTACGTACCTGAATTTTCTTGATGAGATGGTGAACAGATTCACCAAAGTAGATGAATAAACATTTAAGAACTGATTCCCTCCTTGTGTTGTCCACGACCTGAACAAAATGCATTCATTAAAATTACATGCTCCTTTTTTATCACATACAGTAGAAATACGGTTTGAAAAAGACAAAGTATAATGAAACATGATAAAAAATTTGCCCATTCATCATGGAGCATTTTTTTATAACGCCATGCCTGCCTGACACATTTAGCCTAAAGGTGCAAAAGGCTCACAATGTTAGTGTTAGGGGCATCATGCTCAGTACTATAAATCACTGTTTTATAAACCATAAACAAGGTTCAAAGTAGCCCCACACTTCGTTGGAAGTATAATTAAGGTTCTAACATTTGAAACAAGGCATTGATAACTTTGTAAGTGTACATATAGTTTATTAAAAAGACTGTTTTTATTGAAACACAGTAACGTTACCTTGACTTCTCCAATAATCATTTGCTCCT